CCTATGCAAACCTGTGATTTGGATCATTATATCTCCAAAGTGAAAAGGGAACCAATTAAGTTAAGGGTGGTCAGGCTGCACCCCCTAGTTCTTTGGAGCCCCTTGCTGCTGGCTGGGCAGACACTCAGAGAATACCATATGTCAATTATAATATGAATCCCCGTCTTTGCCAAGGCAAAAGAGCGTGACTGCCCCTTCCAAGTTCCAGGCAGCCCTCAGACTGCCCCTTTGTTACTGTATTGTCTCTCGTTCATGTTAATCTTATTTGGGGGAGTGGGGAATAAAAATGTTGGGGTGTTGGGAAAGAAGTTCAGCACATAGTAATTTATTCTGCCAAGGGGGTACTCTGATGGTAATCATCAAATCGTTTCTTTTCTGGAAAAGGTCAAAAATCACAGGTATTTTTAAATGTTAGCTAATATACAAAACTTGAAAGAGGAGAGGAAAAAAATTATCATTAATCTAGCACCGGGTTCTACAATATGTGTTTTCACATTTATTTTATGTATAGTAGTAATTATCACAACAATCTTGATTTTATCACCATTCAACACCGAGTGCCAGAGGCTACATTTGAATGCAGATCCATGGTCTACCCATGTATTGAAAAAGCTTTTTGGTGATAAGGATAAAATATTGGTTCTGTCCTGGAAAAATGGCTTTATAGATTGGAATATATCATTCTTCACAGCATCAAAGAATCTCAATTAGGATAATGAGTGCCTGTTGTTCATGTTACATGTTCGGGAATAGAGCATATTTCTGACTACTGGTGTAGAAACACTTGAAGTCTGGAATTTTTACTCACAACAAAAATGAAAAATGAAAAATTAAGGTTAGCCTCAGTGGTGGTCACATGGGTATTTTTAATTTGTGATAACTCATTGAGCTGCACATTTATGATTTTTGTGTTTTTCTGTATGTATGGGATTCTTTAATTTTCTAAAAGTTTGTTTTTTTAAAAGACTAATAAAAAAGTTATTGTAGGAGAAACAGGATATGTTCTAAGTCTGCATAAGCTAAGCAAGTCACACAACCACATCCTGATTCTTTCTTCTTTATCTATGAATAATAAAGATAATGGAATAAGTTGCCACTTTCTTCCAAGAGATAACTTTCTTTATCTTTACTTGGTCAGTACATGGTTGAGTTTCTAACTTAGGGCTTTTTGCCTCCTGCCTCCATAGTAAGAAATTAAAGAAAACCTTTTATTCCTATATTTTAAAACAAATTTCCTGTGATACTCAGAGCCTGCCAGTAACTTTCACAATCCTACCTTTTTTTTTTTTTTGCATAATCTCAGAATGATTTACAGAAAACAAATACTTTGCCTTCCCTCAGGTTTGGCTGGGACAAATGAATCCATAAATGTTGTGGGACAATAGGAAAGGATGTTGAAACATTTGTAGGCTTTTTCATGAAAATTACCAGAGAGAAAATAGTTATTTTACTTCCTTTCACAGAAGTCATCTTTTCATTTGGACATAATAGTCATACTGAATTTAACCCCTCTTTTGCTTGGCTACCCTGAAAACAAGGTATAATTGGTCATAGAGGAAACAGAGTGAAGGTAAAAATGTATGATAATCCTCATTATAGTCAATTAAAGTACTACTCCAGTACCGACAGTGGATGTCATAAAGCACATACCAAGTTTAATATGAAGTAAATGTTAAACCTTTAAAACATTAATTAATTGAAAATACAGAGCATATTTTACTGAAAGTATGCTCAAGTGCTAGTGCAGTCAGAGTTCCTAAATTCATCTTTGGAAATTTAGTCTTACCACATGTGTAAAGCTGAATTTTTTTTCTGCATTACTCCAGAGTGCATCTTAATTTAATTACCTTATTTCAAGTACAGTCTTTTCTTCAACATATTATTTTTAAAAATTTCCAACCTACGGTAGAGTTAAAAAAAATAGTACAATGAGCACACAACACCCCATACCCAACTCCACCAATTGTTAACTTTTGCTATATTTCTGTGTGTGTGCTCTCTCTTTATGCATGTGTGTGTGTTTGCTAAATCAATTGAAATTAACTTGCTGGTATCACCCCTAAGTACTTTAGTATGTATCGCTTTAGAATAAGGACACCCTCCTACATAACCATGATACCATCATTGTACTCAAGACATTTAGCAAGTCTTAAATTATATAAATGTCTAATCACTGTCGTACATCTGAAACTAATGTAATACTGTATGTCAACCTGAAAAATAAAAAATCATTTAAAACATAAGTAAATAAAGCAAATGGGTTAAAACGTTTTTTAAAATGATATTTTACATTGATAAAAATACCATTTAATACATAGTTCTTAATCAAATACCCCCAATTGTTATAATAATTTCTTTAATCAATTTTTTTTGACAGAGGATCCAATCAAAGGCCATACAGTGCATTTAGAAATCATGTGTCTTTTAATTTAGAACATTCTTCCCCCTGTTTCTTTCCCTCCTTTTTTTTTTTTTTTTTGTCTTTCATGACATGGACATAATTTGAAGAGTCTACGTCTGTTGTCTTGTAGCATGTCCTACAATCTAGACTTGTGTGATAGTGACAGGTAGTTTCTCATGACAGTTAAACATGTATATGGAAAAAAATACACATGCATAGATTGTACATTCCTGTTGCTTTTCCATATACATCTATGTTTTCCCATTTCTGAGACTTCACTCACACAGACCATCTTTTTAATTAATGCCCTTCTTCCATTTTATAATTTACAAGGTCAAGTTCAATGTTTACCTTCTCTAGATGATTTCTCTAATGCCCTTCATCCTGATATAATCTTTGAATATCAGAATACTTTAGCTTTTCTTTTCTTATAGTATTTACAATTTTTTTTTTTACTTTGTATTATCATTTTTATTTGTTCACTTTTTTTTTCTTTTTTTTTTACTTTCTTTCCAATGAAAGCCTCCTAAGGGCAGGCCTAATTTATCTTTGACCTCCTTGGAATGTAGCACATGGTGGTTCACAAAGTAGGTAATCAATGTATATATATTTGTTGAATAAATGAATAGATGGATGAATAAATGAATAAAAATCTTATCTTTGGATTCTGAGATACAGTGAGTTGGTTAAGAACTTAATGTTTCTTTAAAAGTTTCAAATAATTTTTTATGAGTGTACTTTCTGAACCCAGAATAGTCTATTTAATTTTTAAAAAATAAAATTTTAGTTTTAATAAAAATAAACTACATATATTCTATGCCTTGGTATAGCTGTTTTAAAATCAACTTGTTAAGAACTGAAGGAAGCCTTTCAATCTGGACAGTTCATTCTTTAACTTTGGAAAATACCCTTATATTATTATTTTTTTGATAATTTCCTCCTTTGCATATTTTCTGCTCCTCTGGAATAAAGTCCTGTAAGTCAGATGTTGAAACTTCTGGATTGATTCTCTATATCTCTTATCTTTTCTTTCACATTTTCCATCTTTTACTTTCTGAAAGATTTCCGTCCAACCTACTATTGATCTTTTTAAATTTAGGAAATCATGTTTTCATTTTTTAAGAGTTTTGTTTCATCTTTTTGATAGCATCCATTTCTTGTTTTATGGATGCAATATCTTTTCAAATCTCTAAGAAAATATTAATTAGAACTTACTGAAAATTTTCTTCTGTTCCCTGAACTATCTCTACTTAAACTTTCTTAAATTCTTCTTATTTTTATTTTGATCTTTCTCTCATTCATATTGAAGGCATTTTATACATTAAGTATAGAAACCTCTGTGTGCTGAAAAGCTGATTATGAACTCTGTGTACATGAGCAATGTTTGCCAACTGCCAGGTTGACTATAGGTCAATTAAATGTTGAGTTAGGTATTATGATGTGTAAACTCCCAAATACCAAAACATGGAGGTTTTTTTTTTTTTCTGACATCATTTAATTTCTTTAGAAAATAACCCAATTTTTTTTTGCCTGTAACTTCTCATTGCTGAAATGTCACCCAGCAGAGGGGTGTGTGTGTGTGGGTGGGGGGGTGGGTGTGTATGTGTGTGTCTTTTCTGTTTCCTATTCAGACTTTTAGTTGACCTCTCTGTTTCCAGTCCTTCATTTCACCCCTTCCCTCTGTGTCCTGTGTATCAGCACCCCAAGACTCAGCTTTATCCTGCTGTATCAGTTACCATCTTCCATATATACTCTATCTGGTAGAATTCTGTTAAAATCTCTCACCCTCTGATGGCCTCCCACGTCTTCTTGATATGGGTTTATATGTTCTTTTTCCCCCTTTACATCATTTTGGTGGAATCTTGAGAAAGAGAGGAGATAAATACATGAAAATATTTTCCAAAATATTAATTCCTCCCTCCCCCCAAAAATCAATTTGCAATCTTTAATCAGACTTTCTGCTTGATTTTAAAAGTTTTTATGTTACCAACTTCCTTCTCTGTAAATTTGGTCTTGTGAATAGTGTAAATTTTCTGCTTAGAAGATTCAAGAAGTGATTTTCTATGTGATTATGAGAGTAAGGTTCAGACAACCTTGGGTGATTTAAAGTTTCCCACTGAGTAATCTAGACATGGGGAAAGTGCTAAAGATACTGCTTAGGGAAGTGTGAGATAAACTCTCTCTTTATGACTTCAGAAGTCTGGTTACTTATTTACAACTGGAATAAGATAAATGGTCAAATAACTAGAGAAGTTCTATAAACCACTGGTAAAGTTTTTATTCTGCTACCAAATCACGCTCCTGTGCATGTCTGAACGTTCGGTTACCCTAGATTTCCCACAGCTGGAAGAGAACAAGCTGCAGCGTCACCCAGGCAGGCCTCTCCCAAGTCCTACTCACTCACAAAGAATTTCCCCTTTGAGCTACTATGACATTGGCTGGTTACACCACAGATTCCTCAGGATTGGCTGGGACTGCAAATAAAACACTGCCCATAATCGAGCTGATAAGCTACTACATAAATGCATGTAAGTTCCTCTTTTTAGACTATAATATGAAGCATTTGCTCTCTTCTTTCCTCCTAACATTTTCATGCAAGACCTGGAGAGGAAACATCATCTCTGGCCAAAAGGAAAAGTCTTTAAGGAAAAGGAGCTTTAAAATGGGTCCGTTGAGTTCTAAAAACCCCAAAGCCAAGCAAGCCCATATTCTTCTTCTGGGACTTGACTCTGCTGGGAAGTCTACTCTCCTTTATAAATTAAAGCTTGCTAAGGATATTGTGACCATCCCAACAATCGGTTTCAATGTGGAGATGATTGAGCTGGGAAAGGGTATTTCACTCACCGTCTGGGATGTTGGAGGACAGGAGAAAATGAGAACCTTGTGGGGCTGTTACTGTGAGCATACCGATGGGCTGGTGTATGTTGTGGATAGTACTGACAAACAGCGACTGGAAGACTCCAGGAGAGAATTCGAGCACATTTTGAAGAATGAACACATAGAAAATGTGCCTGTGGTCCTATTAGCCAACAAACAGGATGTGCCTGGAGCTCTGACTGCCGAGGACATCACTAGAATTTTCAAAGTGAAGAAGCTCTGCTGTAACCGGAACTGGTATGTGCAGCCCTGCTGTGCCATCACTGGGGACGGACTGACTGAGGGGTTCAGGAAATTAACCGAATTTGTGAAAAGCCACATGAAAACTAGAGGAGACACGTTAGCATTCTTCAAGCAGAAGTGAGGTCCAAGCAGTGAAAGAGACATTGATGAAAATGAAAGAGTAATTTTCCCCCCACACCAAATGAGAAAAGCAAGTTACCGAGGTGGCAAACTTTTCATGAGACATTATCTCACCTAATTAAGTTAAACAACTCAGAATAATATCTGTAAAATATTATTTTTGGCCAGGCACGTTAGCTAACTGTGTGGTAATGATAATTGAGAATGAAAAATTTACTATTTTGTGCTTGTTAGATGGTTCAGAATAATTATATTTGGGATCAAATAAATTATTGCTTTATTATTTTTATATGACTACTAGAACAAATTTTAAGTAAACTGTCTGCTAATAGAGTCAGAATTCTTTCAGATTGTTTTCAGCTGTTACAGGTATTAAATTTCCACCACACTCCTATGTAATATCTGGATAGTATAAAAAATGAACTTTAAATTATAGAGAGGAAAAACTTTGATGTTACCATTTTGTAAATCCCTATCTACCCCCTATATAAAGATTTTCTTCTGGATTCCTGACAGCTTTTTGAAATCTATTGCTTGGAACTTCCTACAATGACTCAAACAATGATCTCTAGGCTGTTAGTTGCCCAGAGGCTGTGTTCTCCCATGGGAGCAGAAGTTTGTATCTTAAAGCTCTTGGGATCAAGGCAAGGCCTGGGCTTACTGCTCATCTTGAGGCTGCAGTCCCAAGACTGGCTTCAGAATTTAATATAACAGTCATTACTTGAGAACTATGTATAGCTCACTGTACCGATCAAACAGGAACCAGAGCTAGACTTTGCTCTCAGAGACCTTACAATCCACAAAGGGAAACAACATAAAGCTAGTAGCTAGAAAGGTAGAATATGGCAATCAATGCTGTGCTATAACAGGAGAGACTCTAAGCTAGAAAAACAGAAAGTGCTTTATGCAGGAGGTAGTATTTAAGAAGCCCCCCCTAACCGCCCCCCCCCCCCGCCCCCGCCCCTGGGGGAATCCCACAAAGGTACAGGTTAGGCACTGGAAGTTACTATCATTAGGAGACTCTCTAGAGACTCTGTGGGGGAGGGCAGGAAGAGACAAGGAACTAGAGATTGAATCGGAATTCCCCTAGAGGCTCATAACTCCCAGGGAGGCCTTTCCTCCTACCCCACCTCCAACGAGGCTCATTTGGGCTAGAAGCAGGTTTCAAGCCTCCGCAGCAGCCCCTGAGACTTTAAATCTTAAGGTCACAGGAAAATAAGGGTACAATAAACCAGGGGTGCCAGCCCCTGGATTCCTTTCATGGTTTTCTTCTCTCATCTTAGCCATGATTTGTTCAGCAAAGATCTGAGTAGCTACTTCTGTGCTACGTTGTAAGGATTCAGATAATAAAGCAGACATATAGTAATAGTTACCATTGGTTGACTATTTGTGTGTGCCAGGTGTTGTACTAAACACTTTCATATGTCTTCTCATTTAAAGTTCACAACTGCCCCAAAAGGAATAGGTATTATTTTCTCAATTTTACAGATGAGAGTAGTGAGACTAAAGATCAGGAAGATTAGTGCTGATAGCTGTTTTTGTATTTGTCTAGTAGGTCTTCCAGTTAAACAACAATAGCAACCAGACACACACACACACACACACACACACACACACACACACACACACACACACACACAAGGACTTGGAATTTTAACTGAGGGGAATGGCAGAGCCAAGATTCAAACTTAGGTGATTTCAAAGCCTGTGCTGGTAATTGCCATGATATTGTTTTATAAATAAGATATGGTCTCTGCCTTCCATGAGCTCACAACAGACAATTAAAAATAAATCCAGGTTAAATTAAGACTAGAACTACCATAAAATCTAGCAATCTCACTTTTGGATATATATCCAAAGGGAACGAAATCACTGTCTGTCTCGAAGAGACACCTACACTCCCATGTTCATTATAGTATTGCTTACAATAGCTAAGACATGGAAACAACCTAAGTGTCCATTGACAAATGAATGAAGAAGATATAGTATATATATACACAATGGAATATTATCTAGCCACAGAAAGAAGGAAACTCTGCCATTTGCAATGACATGAATGAAACTGAGGGGCATTATGCTAAATGAAATAAGCCAGAAAGAGAAAGACAAATACTGTATGATCTCACTTATATGCAGAATCTAAAAGAGCCAAATTCATAGAAACAGAGAGTGGAGTGATGATTTCTAGGGGCTGGGGGAAATGGGGAGAGATTATGCAAAGGGTACAAACTTTCCGTGAGATGAATTAAGTTCTGAGGATCTAATGTACAGCACGGCGACCTTCAATAACAACACTGTATTGTATACTTGAAATTTGCTAAGAGAGTACATGGTAAGCATTTCCACCCTCCCCCCCAAAAAAGTAACTATGTGAAGTGATGTTAATTAATTCAATTGTGGGAATCCTTTTACAATGTATATCAAATCCTCAAGTTGTATGCTTTAATATATTATTACTATGTAATATAAAAAATATTTTACTTGTCAATTATACTTTAATAAAGATGTGGGGGGAGGAGGGGAAGAATAAACCCAGGCCAACATATATTACTTTTATAATAAGAAGTTTCTTAGAAAAGACAAGCCAGACAGCGTAAATTGAGTGTAATAACAGAGGTATAAGAAAAATGCTGAAAGACTGGCAAAAAGAAGACCTCAGGGCAGTGGCAACGTTAAAGGCTTCATAGCAGAGTTTTTTCGAAGTTTCACAAGATGATTAAAACCTCAAATATTCATCTTTAAAAAATGCATCATCCCTTGCCATTTTCCCTTTTTAAATCTTCCTAATCTCTCTCTCTCTTTTTTTTTTTTTCCTGGCTGGGTTTTTTTTTTTTTTGTGAAAACTAGAGGACCTATTAGACAAATTCAAAGAGAGCTGTAAGCACTAATCTTTCTAATTTTAAAATTAGGAGTCACTAATCTATGTCTATAGAAAATATCTGAATAAAAAATGTCCCCCAGTATCCTGAGTATTTTGATAGTTTGAATTAAGTCAAGCCCTTTGTGGCCCAGTCTAAGCACAATGCAAAATTCAGAGAAACAGTCCCTAAAAAATATCGAAAGCAATTAAAATCTTCCCTTCAGAAAGCTCTGATGTGTGCAGTGGGCATAGTGGACAGATACACTCTTAATGTAGAGCAAATCTTATAAAGTAGCTTTTCAATTTCTCTCCTTCATACAATAGCTATTCCTCAAAATCTCTACTAATATTCTCTGAAAAACTGGAACACTCTCATGCTTTCCTCCTTCCTTCCCTGGGGTTCAATTTGTTTTCTTCCATCAGTCACTTGCTTTCTTTTCAATGTATATTTTACCAATCTTTCTTTGGCATTTTCTTTCTTCTCTCGCTGGCATGTTCCTTGATGCCCTCCAACACAAACACACATGCGCGCTCTTCACTTTGATCTACTAATAAAGACCAAAAGTGAGGGAAGGGAAATAGGTTAGGTGGGCAATAGCAAAATATTCCTTAACATGTGAGAGGAAAGAGGCCTTGATATTTATTATTGTCATGCATTTTATTTATTGTTATCTATATGTAACGAAGCAAAACTTTTAACTTATCAAAAATAGCATGCTGCCATAGATCTATAGCAACGAAAAGCAGAACACTTTTGAAATGTTCCTTGGTCAAAGATTTACAGAGTCTGAAAGGTAAATATCAGTTAAATATTTCTATCTGATTTTCTAAGTATTCCCAGGTGAAAAAAAAAAAATCCCTATAGGGCATAAGAATAAAGAACAGCAAATAAATAAAGCAGCAGCAGTGACGGATAGGTTAAAATTAATTTGTCAGTTTAAAAAGCTGATGTTTGCTGATGATGAACAAAGTGGGTTCTGCCAAACCAAGGAAGACCGGGAATTTCACGTGGAGAATCCTGAAGTTCTTGTCCCTTATGGGTGGCACAGAGGGACAAAACACGGACGCTGCAGTACATTCAGTGTGTGAAGGGACAGCCAAAGGATAGCATCTGGAGGGCTCTTGTGAACCCTGGGGTTTGCCTGCTCCTGGGTGCATGAGCTCTCTCTCCAGAGAGGCAGAGAAATAGAAAAAAGACAGAGACTTTTCCGTTGGTAGTGCTAATGACTAACATAATTTGTGATATGGTGCTGCTGTGGTTTCATCGCACCAGGTTTTTAGCATACTGTTGACTGTTAACGGATTGAATTACCTTAAGCATGAGCACATTTTACCTCAAAAGCGCTATGCAAATATTAAAGTCAGTTATTAGATGACTTAACCATATGAGTAGTATTTTCATAAATGTTACCATGTTTTGTTTTCACCAAATCTCATGGGGACACATAACAAATATTATCAATACTATTTTAATGATATGAGGAGTTGATTAAGCAGTTACTGAACCTAGTCTTCTGATATCTAAGATTTTTAAAAAATGTAATTATCGTACAATGAATTTAACAATAATATGGCACATACAGATTTTCCATTAGGTTTCTTTGTTTCTATAAACCAAATTCTTTATTCCCTTCTTACCCTATCTGGTACCTGTCTCCTAGATCTCCAACCTCTCCTGCTTCCAGCCACTCTTGCTTTAATGTCCATATTTTGCTCCTAATTTATTATAACCTCAGGGCCCTTAAACTTGCTGTTTCCCCAGTTTAGAAAATACTTTTTTCAGGCCTTCAAATCATTCATGGCTTCATCTCTTTCGAAGCTCCAACCAAATATTCAGAGGTGTTCCCCGAATCCTTATCTAAATAGATCTCCTCATCCTTGCCATCTAATACCTCTTACCTTGCTTTATTATTTTTCATATAATTTATCATGGCTTCAGAGTTTATTACTTACTCGTTTACTCGTTTCTTTCCCTCCTGAGAGGGTTAGCAACTTGGGAACAGAAGCTTTATTCACTGTTGGATTCTGGAATAGCGCTGAGAATGTAAAAGTTATTTAAAGGATACGTACAACACCAGTGAATGGTCTGAACCCTAACGGGAGGTCTCTTTAGGGCCCCAGGCTCTCTCTCAGGATGGACTATGGATCCAATAATGGAGAATAAAAACAGTGGCAGATTTGAGCCTAGGACAGCCTCATTCTAACTTCAGGGACCATCAGCGAGTCCCTCCCTCAGGAGTAGGGACTGAAATGAACATAGGCTTTAGAGACCGAACTGCGTGGGAATTATGGTTTGTCACTTGCTTTTGCTTTTAGGCAGGTTACTTCACCTCTCTGTCTCAGTTTTCTCTACTAGAACGAGAAATAAACTTTTATTGTGTTAAGCCATGGAGATTTGGAGGTTGTTGCAGCCACCACTGTTAATTACTCTAATAAACTAGGATCATGTTCCTTGCTCCTCCAGTGTGTCCTAAAATTCTTCTTTTCTCAGTCTTCTTCTTCTCACAACCCTCTTCTTCCATATCCCCCTATACCCATTTTAGTATCCTCATTTGATTCATCCCAGAACAAAAAAAAATTTTTTTCTCAATTTTTTATTTTTAAAATGTTCAAACCCATGAAAAAAAAAAACTTGAAAGAATAGTC